AGCCTCACGTCGCCCTCAAGGGCCCGGGCGGGCAGCCGCGGGATGCCCGGCGCCGGCAAGCGGCATTCCGACACAGGGGGCCAGCCTGGCAGCCGCTCGCCTAACCCGGCGCGCCGCGATGCTCAGTGGCTGCTCGGCGAGCCCGGGCGATGAGGTGCACCTGTTCTTCAGCCGGCCCGCAGCCAACCCTCGGTCAGCGCTCTCCAGGAGAAACCAATCCTAGCGCAGCGCAGAGGGCGAGCGGCCGGGCTCGCCTCGCTCCCGCCGCCCGCGGCTCTGCGCAGCCACTGCTGCCGCCACCCCGAGTCAAACTCCGGCAAGCGACGCCGCCCGCCGCCGCTCGGGAGCGGGGGACCCGGGGGCGCACCCCAACCAGCACGCAGAAGATTCCAAACAGCCCCGGCGCCGCTGCCGGGTAGAACCGGGAGAGCAGAAACGGGAGACCGCGACGGGGGGTCCCGGGCGACACTGATCCCCAGTCAAAGGCTGCTCCAGGCGGTTTCTCGCACGCAGCTAGGCGGGTGCGGGTGTGTGTTCCAAATCGCCGCGGACGGGGTGAGATTCGGACAGAGTAGCGCCTCCCACCAACACCTAATGGTGCTTTCTTACAGCGCGCTAGATAAATAAATGGTCCAAGAGGACCCCCGTTGGAGATGTATGACACCCGCAGGTCCCGATCAGCCGGTCTCTGTTGAGGATCCTGCGGGGTCGGGCACTGAAGCTGCTGGGAGAAGACGCAGGGCGTGTTAGGTGGGAGGGCGCCTCTGAGCTCCCCTGCCCTGCCGCGGTGCAGCTGGACTGAGAGCTATCTTCGCTTTGGAGTTGCTGAGAGCTGCTGCTGGAACAGACGACCTTTCTGCAATCAGATCTCCAAACCATTGACTAATCTTTTAAAAAGTATTGCCTTTAATAAATGTAGGTACTCCCTGGTACACATGTCGCAGTGCAAGAGGCAAAAATGAGAAAAGATCCTGGCTAGTCTCTCAAATTAAGTGACCGGTTTCTTCCCTTGGGGACAGAAAGACAGGTGCACTCCCTGAGGACCGAGTGGCACAGAGAGGAAAGAAGCGGGAAGAGCAAGAGAGGGTGCTAATATGGTACAGGCTGGTGGTGCAAAGCTATGCTTCCCAACACTATCCAGATTCCTAGGCTAAGGTGGAAATGAAAAAGGCGATTTTATTTTTATTTTATTTTATTTATTTATTTACTTTTACAACCACCAAGCAAGAACGGGAGGTTGAGAATGGCAACTTCCTCATAGTGCACCTCCCAGCACTGTCTGGGGACACTGATGCAGACAGCATTCTACAGTCCTGTAATGCACTTTGCAAAGATGAAGTTTCCTAGGTATCCATTTTATTCACAGGTGAAGAGAAAGAGTGAACGCTACTCTGAGGAGATGGCAGAGTGCAGAGAATGCGTTCAAACATGGAGCCCTTGGGGAATTGTGCCTACCGGAGTTCTTTGCACAGGCATGATTAATAAATTATTTTTGATGGCAGTAATGTGGCTGTCACCTCTTTTAGCTCTAACACTGAGATTTCCCCCATAGGAAAACCTTTGGTTTTTAATTTGACAGAACATGCCCTAACCTAGCAGCTCTGAATTATGGCACTGAGAACTGTAAGTGTGTGGGGGTGGGGGTGGGGGGAGTTGAATCCATACACTTGACTCTCTAATGCAAGGCATAAGTAAAAATTAACCCAGCCTTAACCTTCTGTGGGCTGCCAGGCATCTGCTCCCTGCCTTTCTCATGCAGTAAATAAAAGCCTTTCCACATTATAGTAGGTGCTGCTGTTGACGACTTGAGAAAGATTTCTTTTCGGCACTTAGTTCATCACCATCCCTCCCAAATCCCACCCCCGGTATTCTGTGTTCTTTGCCTTCTTCCTCCCCCACTGGAATAAATCCAAATCACAAAGAGAGGAGCTGTAATGCTGCTGTGGGTAAATGCTCTCTTCCTGAAACCACAATTGGACCATGTTCACATTCTTTTCATGGCTTCCCAAAGCCTTTTCCACTTTTCTTTCCAAATCCCCTCTCCCTCTCCTTGCTACTGGGCTCTAAGAGCTTATTCGTGGTTCCCCGTTGAATTCTTCTTTTCCAGGAGCACCAGCTACTGTATTCAGCATCAGCTGCTCTCACAGGAAGCATCCCCAGTGGGAGCGGGGCAGGGGAGCCCAATGCCAAGGCATTGAGAGTTTTCCATTAGGGAACAGGTTGTAACGGACTATCTAGGGGTGTTTATCAGAGGTAACTGTCTTCAGGATGGAGTTGTACTTGTAAGGCTTTCTGGTATTAGGAGGTAAGCATTGTAGGGAAACTGAGGAACCGCACCCACAGTAGTCAAGATCAAGAGGTAGAGACCCAATATTAGTCCGTTAACTGGCATGATTTAGAAGCACAGAGAGACAAGCTTCTGAGAAAGGCTGTGAGAGATTTCCTACATTAGGTTAATTGAGAAGGGAAGACTCACTCTAACTATAGTCCATGGACTAATGTCTCGTTCTGAATGAAAAGGAGAAAGATGGCTGAGCACCAGCTTTCACCCTTCTGTTCCCTAGGAGTGCAGTGTGAGCAGCTGCCTCCAGCCTCTGGCCCCACCCCTGCCTTACTGTATGAACCGGATCCTAGAGCTGTGGACAAGAGCAAAGCCTTCCTTCCTGAAGTGGCTTCAGCCAGCTCTTCCATCAAAACATTAACCAAAACACCTACACTGCTCTGATGACTCACAGCTTACTAAAGCCAAATATTGGAGTAGGTTCACACTAAGACAGTTAGACCTCTGGTGCTGGTCATGATTAAAAAAAAAAACACCCATGGAGCAGTTTTTTCAACTATGAAATGGAGCTGCTACTTAGTTTTATGAAAGTGTATCACTAAGGAGACTATTCACCTGTGGTATCTTTGAAGTGTGGTCATCACTCATGCCTCTGATGAGTCAGAGGAAACTCAGTTCTTTCAAAGACTTTTAGTGATGAGACCCTTATTAAAAGTTGTTGATTAAGAACTGCAAGGCTGGGAGTAACCCTTGGCCAAACACTTCAACTCTGTCATCCCATAAAATAGCCCAGTCCCTCAAGTCACTTTATTCTCATCAGAGCTCTGAAGAAAGTATCCCTACTTGGGGAAGCTATCCCAGCCTAGGAAGGGTACACTTTAAGACAATTTGATTTTGAGAAAAGCTCTGCCTATGTTACTTTCTTCTTTTTTCTTAGCTCATTCATCCTGAACAAGATGTGAGGCTTGGAGGATACAATAGAGAGCAGGACCCACCTTTCATGAAGTTTATGTTGTAAGGAAAGCGGTTGACAGCAAACAACAAAACAAACTAGAAAACCAAACAATCAGAACTGTAGTTTGGGTCCACAAAGAAGCAACTTATTTGGCATGATTGTAGTACATATCCCTTGTTTAAATATCTCTAAGTGATTTACCATCATCCTTTTTAAATTCCTGAGAACTTCAAATTCCTACCAACTGGATGGCAGAGTGCTCTATTAACTGGAGGTTCAATTGTTACTACAGTCACTCAAAAGCCGGGCTGTGTCACAAACCCCTATCGTTCTCCATATTGCTCTCTGGAATCAAGGTCAGAGGCAGTGTGATACCCGAGCACATCTCACAGTGTAAATATTTTTCACTGAAGTTCAACCCCTTCTGCATGGCCATAATTTATTTCCTGTTTATCTCTTGATTTAGTCTGAGCCTACTACTGTGACTGGAACGATAGTCACAGTAGTAGTTCTATAGAAATTGTGGTGACTTTTGAAAATTGTCACCACAATTTCTATAGAAATATTCAAGTTCTATAGAAATTGTGGTGACTTTTGAAAATTGAAAATACACTCTTTTCTCCATATCTCTCAACAAGTGACCTCACCTGTTTCTTTGGACTCTTCATCAACTCAGTAATAAGATCAACCCAAAAGGGCATCAAAAAAAACTTCCTATCAAAACAATTCTTCACAACATCAAGACTTCAAATAATTTTCCAATGGTGAATTTTCCAATTCACCAATAAAAATGAACAATAAAATATGTGAGTGATCTAAAGCAAACAGCAGAGAGTTGAAAGGTGAGGAATTCCAAATGTAAACATATCCTACTCGCAAAAGATTATAATATTATCCAAAGATTCATGTACTTTTATTGTCAGCTAATTACTGTAAGTTATATTATAAATTAAGCACTGACTATAGCAGGATGTGGAACTGGTAATTTGAATGGGTGCTAAGAAAAAATTTGATGGTGAATTTCAGATGGAGTTGAGATAGGACAATTACTAAATAGGTTAAAATTTGAGCTTTTTTGAAGCACATCTATTTACCAGAGGCTATGTTTTGAACACAATTACTGAGTCTTTTGACTTCA